GTTGTTTGGGACTCGAAAGTCTGCCTGGAGAAGTGTGGTTTGGGACTCGAAAGTCTGCCCGGAGAAGTGTGGTTTGGGACTCGAAAGTCTGCCAGGAGAAGTGTGGTTTGGGACTCGAAACTCTGCCAGGAGAAGTGTGGTTTGGGACTCGAAAGTCTGCCGGAGAAGTGTGGTTTGGGACTCGAAAGTCTGCCAGGAGAAGTGTGGTTTGGGACTCGAAAGTCTGCCGGAGAAGTGCGGTTTGGGACTCGAAAGGTTTGGGACTCGAAAGTCTGCCGGAGAAGTGCGGTTTGGGACTCGAAAGTCTGCCCGGAGAATTGGACCCTAAAGTCAGCAGAGAGGTGGACCCTAAAGTCGGCAGAGATTTGGACCCTAAAGTCAGCAGAGATTTGGACCCTAAAGTCAGCAGAGAGGTGGACCCTAAAGTCGGCAGAGATTTGGACCCTAAAGTCAGCAGAGATTTGGACCCTAAAGTCAGCAGAGAGGTGGACCCTAAAGTCGGCAGAGATTTGGACCCTAAAGTCAGCAGAGATTTGGACCCTAAAGTCAGCAGAGATTTGGACCCTAAAGTCAGCAGAGATTTGGACCCTAAAGTCAGCAGAGAGGTGGACCCTAAAGTCGGCAACGATTTGGACCCTAAAGTCAGCAGAGGTTGGGACCCTAAAGTCAGCAGAGGTGGACCCTAAAGTCGGCAACGATTTGGACCCTGAAGTCAGCAAGGAGGAGGGAGGGGGGTTAGCGGGGGAGGACTACGACTAACTACTATGTATTGGGCGGAACCTGGATTTACCTGGTTCCCGAAAAGTGACTTGGCTGCTTGGGTGATTACGATCGCAATCAGCGGCTGAGTGCCTGCTCCAGTGCCGTGGCCCGCTTTATAAAGGGCTCGGCGAGGCCCTAGTGTGGCCAGCTCCCTGGTCGGTTTTTGCCTCCGATAGTGTGCCCGGCCGTCGTATAGCCAGTGTGGCCGTTCGCTGATCGTGCGCGCGCGCGCTTTTGATTTAAATTCGCGTGTGTCTTCCCTTTTCCTCCTTCCTCGCGTTTGCTCGATTGAAACACTTCATGTTCCCTTGTTTTTTGTGTTTATTGCAGCCACTTCATTTCTTTTGTTTTCTGTTCACATTTAACTTCATGTTTCTTTTGGTTTCTTTACTTCATTTTCTTTTGGTTTTCTTTTTCCTTTTTCTGTTCACATTTGTGTTCTTATTGCCTATTACTTCATGTTTCTTTTGGTTTCTTTACTTCATTTTTGCTTACATATTATATTCTTATTTATTCTACTATTTTTATCTCTACTTTGTGCGCGCAGCGTCACAACTCTCACTACTATATACGATCGATAACGATCGGGAAATTAATAGGAAACAAATTATAACTTCGTCGTTTTTCAACGTATTTTCATCTACTCTGAGACATAAGCTTATTTTATTATTCTAGAATTTTGGTATAAATTTCATGAAAATCGGACAACTATATCATATAGCGGCCATAGGAGCGATCGGTAGATGTAGAGAAAATGTAAAGGTGTGAATGTAAAACTGTAACTGTCAAACTGTAAACATAATAAGTATAGGTGAAATGTAATGAAATAATATCTGCAAGGGTATACAAACTTCGGCGTGCTGAAGTTAGCTTCCTTTCTTGTTAAATTTCTTATTATCAGCAAGAATTGCATGTAAAGGTGCTGTAACTGGCTTAAAAGTTTCTTCTAAATTTGAAGCATTCTCATTATAATTTCAGTCAGAAGTTTGCAACGCAGTGAAGGAGACCTTTCCGACCCTATAAAGTATATATATTCTTGATCAGCATCAACAGCCGAGTCGATCTAGCCATGTCCGTCTGTCCGTCCGTCCGTCTGTCCGTCTGTCCATCTGTCCGTCTGTCTGTTTCTACGCAAACTAGTCCAAAGCAAAGCAACCGCAGCAGCCCAAACTAAAATGCAATTTAAATTGAATTAAATAACACAAAATAAAAAAGTAGCATGCACACGCGAAGTGAACGGGAATTATTAGAAACACCAAATATTGTAGGCCTTTATATATTTTAGTTTTTATCTTTTTTATTTAACACCAAAAATGTACGCACTTCTTTTGCCAAAAGGACGCCGACCAACAGTAGAGATCGCAGTCTCTCCGTATATATCATTAGAAACTATCGATAACCTACATTATTTACAATCGATATAATATATTGCTTCCACTTATTCTACATGGTGTTCCTAATATTTTTTCCACTTATACTACATGGTGTTCCTAATATGTTCCTACAGCTCGGCCGTCCTGACTTTTAGGATCTCCTGATCCTTGCCGACGTAGCTCTTGTTATTCTTTTATATACAATCTTTGTTTCTTTATCCTCTTATCATTTTTACAATTGTCTTTACATATATAATTATTCAGATTGCTTCGTAAATTAGGTTTAATTCTATAAATACTTTTTGTTCTTGTTTCTTTCTCTATTTCTTCATTGTCCCCATAATCTTTACATTTTTCACAATTTTAATTTACATTTAATTCATTATTCGTTACATCTAATTCATTATCTTCTATATTTAATTCATCTTCTTCTATATTTAATTCATCTTCTTTATTATTATTTTTTCTTTCTGTATCAATCCAAGGCTTCAAATTATGTACTGCCCAAATCCCCACATATGGTTTTTGTGTTTTCTGTTTTTTCTCTTATCAAATATCTATCATTCCCTATAGTCCCCTACTTGATACTTGTGTGGTTCTCTACGTTTGGCATCAACATATTTTTTATTATATTCTTGTGCTTTTATTTGTGCTAATCCCGCCTTTTCTCTAATTTCATCTAAATTGACCTTTTCTTTAATTTGTTCTCTCTCAATTATGTTTTCCTTCACGTTATAAATTACTTTCCCCTTTTGTCGTATCCCAAATAACATTTTACTCGTATATTCATTTATGCTTTTGTGAAATACATTATTAATAGCAAATTCTACATCAGACAGTACCTTGTACCATTGTTCATTCTCTTCCGTATTTATTAGTTTGCTTATCATCGGTCCCAGTTCTCTATTTGTTATTTCTACCTGGCCATCTGCGGTTTTCCGAAACAAAACTCTCAAACTCTTGTGATGTGAAACATGTTCCTCTGTCTGAAATAAGAATCTTTGGTCGACTTTACGCTCTGAAGTAATCGTATAATGCATCTATTGCCTCTTTTGATTTCGTAGTTTTTGTTGGATACAATCTTACAAATTTGGTAAAACCATCTATTACTACCAGAATGTGTTTTTTTGCAGCATTTTTGCTTTCAATCGGACCATAGTGATATATGTGTAACACTTGAAAAAAGTTCTTTTCGGTATAGAATGCAGAAAACCCTCCTGTCTCGTATTCTTAGCCGTAAATGCAATACATTTAAGACAGTTTTTAATGTGTTCCTCTATCTTACTTCTCATATTTGGAAACCAATAACTTTTACTTATTATATTTGCCACTTTTTCCGTTCCCCAATGTCCCATTTCGTTATGATATTTAAAAAGAATGTGAGTTTCCATTGATTCTGGAACATAAAACAATAAGTTATCATTGTTTTTTCTATAAACTACTCCGTTCCTCATTTCATAAAAACTATGCTCTCTCTCCTTCAACATCTCTTGTAGTCGAATTATTTGTTTGTCTTTACTTTGACAAAAATTGGATGAAACTTTCCGTCGCCTTTTCTTTGTAATAATATCGCCCCAAATCCAATTGCACTCGCATCGCAATGCAGCTCTGTTTCATCTTCTGGATTATATATTGCCAAAATTGGTGTTTCCATTTCATTTAGTCAAAATTCGAATTTTTTGTCCTTTTTCGTCAAATCGTGGAGCGGTTTTGCAATAAATGAGAAGTCTTTAATAAACCTCCGGAAATAGGAACACATTCCTTAAAAACTCTGAACTTCTTTGACCTTAGTAGGAATTGGAAAATCATTTATTGGCCGAATTCCTTCCTCATTTGCCTTTCTGAAATAACATATCCGAGATATGTTACTTCATTTTCTAAAAAACTGCACTTATCCATTCTCAATTCAAGATTGTTTTCTACCAAAAGTTTAAAGACCTCTCCCAAAATTTCTATATGTTCTTCGTATTCTCGTGTAGCAATCATTATGTCGTCCAAATATACTACAACTTTTCCTTCTCTTATCATTTTCTCAAACACTTTGTTTATAAATAGTTGAAATATAAATGGTGCATTTGTTAATCCAAATGGCATTCTTAAGTATTCAAAATGTCCTAGTGGAGTTTTGAAAGCATTAACTTAATTGAATCAGGATGCATGTATACATGGTTATAGCTATTTTTCAGATCTAATTTCGTAAATATTCTTTTGTTAACCAGGCCATCTAGCAAGTCATCTATCAACGGTATACGATATTTTACTTTTTAGTCAGTTTACTAAGGCGTCTATAGTCTACACACTCTCAGACCACCAGTTTTCTTCTTAACCAATACTGTTGGAGATGAATATTTGGATTCACTAACTCGTATAATACCATTTTCTAAACCCTCATCAATAATTTTTTGAACATTGGACTTCTCAGCGTAGGACAATCTTCTAGGAGCACTACTAAATGCCTTGTTATCTTCAACCTCTAGTTGCACTTCAGTTTTTATTTTCGGTTCAACCGGCCTTACGCATTTTATATAACCACTCTCAATAAGATTAATTAACTTTATTCTTTGCTTGTAATTAACGGATTTTCCAATACTATATTCATGTTTCTCATCTGGAATATCATACTCAATTGCTAATATTTGATTTTCAAAACTGTTTTCTTCTGTTTTTTTCTATACTTCGTTTTTGATTCTTTCCCGAACATTTTCCCTCACTTATAATACTGACTTTTTTATTCGTGTCATTATTTTCATTCAGTTCCATAATATTAATTTCTTCGACAGCTTCTTCGGTTCTCTTTCCGATAGTCAGTTTCATATTGCATTGTTTTAAGAAATCTCTACCCAAAATAATCGAAAAACCCATAGATTCATTATCCACCACCATTAACTCGCACAATACGTCTTTATTTGAAAACGAAATTAAACATTTTACACTTCCAAAAATCTTCGGTTATTCATTTTCCTTAAATGTATTTGAGGTGGAACGTATGCTTGTTTTATCAAACTTATGGGGCTTCCTGAATCTAAGAGTGTTTCTATAAAAATGGGTTTACAATGAGTATCCGATAAAAATATTACTTTCATATAACTTACATATTCATTTTGTACAACTATTTTCTTATACTGCTCACAATCCTTAGCTTGATGTCCAGGTTTTCCACAAGCGAAGCAAGTACCCATCTCTCGTTTCGGCTTTCGACATTCGCTTGATATGTGCCCCAAACTGTTACAGTTGTAACACTTCCGTTCCTGTGCGTTTCGTTGTATGAATGCTTCTAACATTTCGGTCTTCGTCGAGAAATTTTGTAGTTTCGCAATGTTCCGAAGATTTACATCCGGAATTCCCGCTATCATGTACTCGATCAGCTCATCTTCATCCAGGTCAATTTCATTTCCCAGAGATACCATTTCTTGGAAATATTCGTCGAAGCGTTTCCCTCATTTCCAGGTGCATAATTGAAGTTGATAATAAGTTTAGACCCTTTCTTTTCAAAATGTTTAGCCATTTCATCTAGCAGAAAATCTACAGTTTCTGCCATTAGTGTAGGATTTGCAGTCATCCATTCCAATGCTTTGCTTTTAACTTTGTTAAAAATTACTGCTCGCATCACATCGTCATCTACGTTGCACTATGGTTTTTTTCGCGTTTTTTTTGGCATAAACTCTAATTTTAAACCTATTGATCTGAAATTTGGTTTGTATACATTTTTTAAGCTTTTATGATGACCTACCAAGTTTCAAATGATTTGGGGCACTATTTCATATAGCTGCCATATAACCGATCTGGCCGATTTGCACCAACTTTTTTGTTTTTCAAGCTATTGCTTTGAAATTTGGTTTGTATACATTTATTAAGCTCCCAAGATGACCTACCAAGTTTCAAATGATTTGGTTATATTTTAACAAAAAAAACTTTTTTGGGCGAATCGGCCAGATCTGTTATATGGCAGCTATATGAAATAGTGCCCCAAATCATTTGAAACTTGGTAGGTCATCATAAAAGCTTAAAAAATGTATACAAACCAAATTTCAGATCAATAGGCCTAAAACTGGAGTTTATAGCAAACAAAACGGGAAAAAACCATACTGATATGGTACTAGAAAATTATGATTTTTTTCGAAAACGTGTGGATTCGGACAAAAACGGTTAGTTTCTCATTAATCTGCACACTTTGGTTAATAGTTTCTCATTTACAACTTTTTGCAACTCTTTGCCATGCAAAAGTACTGATCCACGAAACACAGCTACACTTGTTAAGCTCGTTCTAAAAATACACGTAAACAAAAGACGGTACAATTGGACAAAAACACATAACAACGACAGAAACATTGGTAAACTTTAGTTTTAAATACCTGGACAATCGTTTTCCATATTTATTCATTTAACATCTTCGTAAACTTTTGCCACAACAAACTATCAAAGTCGCACAATTTTTCGCGCCAATTTCATACAAAACAACTGCTACATAATCGGCTGACTTTAACAGCTGGCCAGCAGAACAGTGTTGCTCCATATGTTAAAGTTACATATTTTTTTATCTATCTAGGGTGTTTAAAAATTAAAAATAAAAAAAATTTTAAGATACATAAAAATAAAAAAATTGACTTTATGCCAAAAAAAACGCGAAAAAAACCATAGTGCGTTGTAAGTTTTCCGAACATTGTTGATCATTGTACGCCAGTTGAAGAATTTATTGTCACATTCAAAAACGTATACCAGCTCTTTTAGCATTTCCAGAGATATTTTATTTCTAGCACCCTCTGCATAACTTATTTGATTTTTAATACTAGTCAGTTCTTCCTCCAGTTTATGTATTTTTTCATCTTTCTTAAAAATTTCAAAGCGTTGTAGAATAACATCTAAGTCGCATTGCTCTTTCATATTTCCTGGCTCGTTAAAATCTCCATTGTTTTTGCCGACCGCTTCCCTTACGTTGTTGTTCGGCCTTACGTTATCATCTTGCTTTATATTGTCGTTTAGCATTACGTTTTTATTTCCCTTTACGTTGTCGTTTCCATTTCCATCTTGCTTCGCGTTGTATATCTTCCTTACGTTTTCATTTTTCTTTACGTCGTCGATTTTCTTTACGTTGATTTTTTCCATTACGTCGTAGCTTTTCTTTACGTTGTCCTTTCCTTCTTCTTTGTCGTTGTACTGGTCGTCGCCATCTTCATTTTGCATCTTCTCTCGTCTCTCGCTATTCTGTTGCCCACTCTCGTTGTTTCTCTCTTCTCCTTCGCCGCATTTCTCTACGTTGTCTTTGATTTCTGTCGAAATGGCGGCGTCGTTTTCCGTCCCATCCGAAAGGTTTCTCGAATGTTCCATTTCGTCGAATTTACTAGATTCCCAATTCTTTTTTAATTTTAGCACGCTCTGCCCAATTTGTGGTTTCGCTATTCGTTGCAACCTCCAAATCAAAATGTTTTTGGTGCCGGTAGCATCCAAACTATTCCCGACGCACAAAAATTGCAATTCTTTTTTAAGCAAATTTTTTAAGTTTGTCGATGGCATGTATGTACATCCACACACATGTATGTGTGTACTTCCAGATTTGTTAATTTGATGATGATGACACAGTTCACTTAAGGCGTGTTCATGACCACTTCTGAATATTATAGGCCTTTATATATTGCAGTCTTTATATTTTTATTTTACACCAAAAGTTGCGCACTTCTTTTAACAAAACGCCGACAAAAAGTAGAGATCACAGTCTCTCCATATATATCATTACAAACTATCGATAACCTACATTATTTACAATCGATATAATATATTGCTTCCACTTATTCTACATGGTGTTCCTAATATTGTTTCCACTTATACTACATGGTGTTCCTAATATGTTCCTAAAATATCGTATTTCATCCAAGAAGTATGCCATAGAATTATTTCGCAATTTTCCAATTACATCTCAGGTTATCAACCTATCACCCTCCCCAACGATGTTAATAACTCCTTGAAAATGAAGAAAACTCTCACTAGGAAGTACATATAAATCTTGATTTTAAATGATTATTCTTATCTCATCATTTGACTTTAATGATTGTTGATATGGTGAATAGCTGTGATATTCCTTTTTCGATATACTATCGTCAGAAAGGGGCTTTTCTCGTACTGCTAATACCTCGTTCAAACCCATAACTTTTATTTAAGCTCGTACTTTGAAACCCAATGATTTCAAAATTAAACAATTTTTTTTTTACTTCGAACCTCTACCTATAACTTTACGATTGAAAGTGCGTTGGTTGTGAAAACTATCAGCTCTTTTATTATATATAATCATTGTATCAATCTCAAATGTAAACGGATCGTATAGTTTTCACCGCGTAAATTTATCAAATCACCGTTCTGGTCAGTTATGTGTATAGAGAGAGTACTTATTTCTCTAGTGTTGACTGGCAAATAAATGAGATTGTGAGGTGTGATATTAATTTTATAGCCCGGTGGAACATTAATCCCAAATTCATAAATTGCATGATCCTGTCTACTGTCAATATATGATCCACTGACAATATTACACACTAAGCGTATTGTGTTTATTTTTAAAATGTTCACTGGTTGATCGGATATATACGTTTTTTTCTGATCAGGATTGAGAACCCTTTTATTAAAACCAAACAATTTTCCAATCGAGTTTTCCCTATTAAAATATATAGGTTCCTGGGTGGTTGAAATATGAACTTGAAGTGTATTATTATTACTTTCCAACAGAAATGTTTTCTCGAGACTATAATCTCTTAGCTTATTTTTCAGAAAATAATGAATATCATCGAGTTCATAAGATCCGATGGGGATTTCAATTATCCTATTTCCGATATGGAATAGATTATTACTTTTATCAACATTGGGTATAGAATTGTACATATGAAAATCAATTAGTGCGCACTCAAATTCACCATTATTTAATTCAATGGGTGGGGAATAAGTTATGTTCGTGATGGGTCCATTACCATTTAATGTAAAGGTGAATGATCTACTCATTTTGAAATCTGATAATAAACTGTGAAAATAGAGCTTACACATGTAAACTTATATTCTCAAATAATTATGTAAAACCTTTTCTATATCGCCCATTATCCATATCATTATCCTCACATGCGACATCATCAAAGATCATGATAGAGTTTTCTTTTGCCTTTTCAGGTGGTAAAACTGCATCATTTTGTGAGAATGTATAGTACCCATACCCTTTATAGGTTTAATTAATTTCTCTAAATACTGGTACTTTGGTTGACACAAATTCTTTAAGAAAATATATATATTTTCAAATTTTAAGCCGTTTCCAAAAGATTAATTAACATATTGGTTTTTTCACAGTTCGAGGATCCGACAATCAGAGCTCTAATTGTATTAGGTAATAGAGGGCTATGTCGTGGTGGTGAATTTTTTAATAAGTCATCACCACCCTCTATGTTTCTAACACAAATCTGTTGTTTTTGACGTATTAAACGCATATTCACATGTATAATGTAGTTCATTCAACGAGAAATGCTCATTAATTAAACATTATATAAAATGGGTAAAAGTTTTTATAATTATCGCAGTCAGAATTCAAACTTAAAACGAGGTAGTGGCATTATTAACATAATAATTAACACGCTCCCATTTAAAGCACATATTCCTGGTTATAATTTTTGTGGGCCTGGTACAGAGTTAAAACAGAGATTGGAGCGCGGAGACCGTGGATTAAATCAATAAGATGAGGCATGTAGAACTCACGATATTGCATATTCACAACACAAGGAGTTAAGTGACCTTTACAAGACGGACGCAGTTTTAATAAATAAAGCGTGGGATCGTGTTACTTCAAGAGATAGTAGTTTGCGTGAAAAAACTGCTGCATACTTAGTCACAAATATCATGAAATCGAAAATGAAATTCGGAATGGGTATGAAAAAAAAGAAGGAGGGAGTGAAGAGAAAGTGCAGGAAAAGGGGGGGAAAGGGTAAGACCTTTTCAAATGTTATTTAAACAGGAATACGAGCATTGAAAAAACCGAAACCATTAGATCTCATAAGTGCTATTAAGATTGCACGCAAAGCAGTGAGTAAATCAATTGGTCGCAATAAGAAAAATATTAAAATTCCTCGCATAATTAATGTACCCAAAGTTGGTGGTTGGTGGTGACTGCACTTAGTGCATTGGGTAGTGTTGCCTCTGGCAGCGCAGCTATTGCTAAAGCCATCAATAATGCATCTACGAGTAAAAACCAACTAAAAGAGAGTAAACGTCATAATAAAAAAATGGAAAGTATTATAGAAAAGGGTATGGATTATATCTTAACCCATTTAGAGGAAATAAAAAAAAAACTAATCAGTAAGATACCCAAGAAGGCACTTTCAAATTTTGAAATTTTAGATTTTGCTCAAAAATGTATTCTTCACTTTCGAGGTGTATTTATGAGAGACTCACTACCGAAATAACCTTGGATTCATGAATCAGGAATTATAAGCCTGGGGCATCCCCATCAAGTGGTACACATTGGGTAGCTTATAATAAAAATAAAAAAAATATACACTACTTTGATAGTTTCGGAAATTTACAACCACCAAAAGAAGTTGTAAAATACTTGGGGAACAATATTAGCTATAACTATGATAGAAAGCAAGCCTT